AGCTCCAGCGAGTCCATGTCAGCATCCTGGTCCCTGGTCCACAGGAGTGCCAGGAGCAGGGGCGAGCCGCTCGGGAGGAGCAAGCTCGGCCTCGGCGGGAAGGGGCAGCGCGGGCAGCAGTGGCCTTCGCGTCGTGGTCCGCCTGTGCCTTGCGGATCTCCTGCAGGAAAAGGGACCACCTGCTGCAAGCACGGTTCGGAGAGCCCTTGACCAGCTCCCGGGTGCGTGATGGCCTTCTGGAGCTGCCCAAGGTTGCTGACAGAACCGTCGAGCACCGCGCGGGGCGCCGCCGCAGATCCGACGGGAGTCTTGCTCTTCAGCAGTTCGAGGCGTTCGCGCCCCAGGCCCCATCTTGGCCGCGCGCTTGGCATCGATCTGCGCCCGCATGCCCTCGAGGAGCTCCCTGCTTCTGCTTGCTGATGAGCTCTCCGGCCTCGACCGCCGACTCGGGCTTCTTAATATTAGGTCGTGCCTGTCCCTCTACAGGGGCAATATTCAAAAATAGTCAAAAAGTAGCCTGGGGACGATTTGTTTACTATGTTTGAACATCTTGGGAGCATGTTTTGAGTATGTTTGACTTTTCGCCCAAAATCCCCCTGTAGGGGGACAGGCCCGACCTAATCTCAATAGCCTTGTCCATGGCCTCGATCCGATTGACGAACCCGTGTGCCTGGGAGGCGAGGGGCTTGGCCGCCTGGAGTGCGGTCCGTGGTACCTCGGCTCGCGCGACGTGCGCGTCGCATCCCTGCAGTGTGTGTCGGCTCGGCTCCCGTGGACATCGCGCTGGCGGCCATGGTGGCCAGCATCGCGTCCAGGGCCTTGAGCTCGACCGTGCGCTGGTCCGCCTCGGGCTCGGGCTCAGCCTCGGGGGCTTTGTCAGGGGTCTTGGCCTGGAGCTTGGACTCGAGACTCTGGAGGCGCATCTGCAACGCTGCGATCTCCTTGTCCTTGGCCATCGCCGCACCGGCTAGGGAGGACCTGGGCTTGGGCAGCGAAGGGTCGGTGAGGTAGCGACAGAAGCATTTGCTTCTCGCAGAGCCAGACAGATGGCAAGACACAGCAGCAGGGCGATTGCGCCATGGTTTGCCAGTGACCTCCGACGTGAACGACTTGCAGCACCAGCGCAGGGTGGCGGCATCTCAGCGCCTGGGTGGCGACTTGCAGCCGTCGTGTCGTGCGGCAGCCCGCCGCGCATGGATGATGGCCCGTGTCCACGGTGCCACTTCGAAGCCGTTGGACACAAGCCGCCGAAATGGCTGGAGGAGGAGGAGGAGGAGGAGAGTTGGAGAAGCAGGAGGAGGCGGAGGGGAAGGAGGAGGAGGAGAAGGAGGAGGAGAGTTGGAGGAGGAGGAGGAGGACGAGAAGGAGAAGGAGGAGGAGGAGGTGGAGAAGGAGCGACCTCCAGGGACCTCATGAGATCTCCTGGGAGGATGTGGAGGAGAAGTTGAAGGTCTCCAGCATGTGAGCTGGAGAGGCTGGATGCCACCTCCGCCCGTTCAGTCTCCCCTCGCCCAGAAGCGCACACCCCTCCTTCCATATGCAGAAGCTCTTCATCAACCGCAGAGCGGCCGGCTTGTACTATTGTTCCCCACGTCCGAAGTGGGTTTATTCATGTTTCTGCACACCCCCGCGCAGGATCTCCTCCTCCTCCTCCTCCTCCTCCTCCTCCTTCCTCCTCCTCCTCCTCCTCCTCCCCTCCTCCTCCTCCTCCTCTCTGCTCCTCCCCTCTCTCTTCCTCACTCACACACCCACGCACATCAGCATGATGATCAGCATCATCAGCAGCAGCAGCAGCAGCAGCATCAGCATCAGCATCAGCATCAGCATCATCATCATCATCATCATCATCATCATCATCATCATCGTCATCGTCATCATCATCCCATCGTCATCAGCATCAGCAGCAACATCAGTATCATCATCAGCATCAGCATCGGCAGCAGCAGCAGCATCAAAATCGTCAGCATCAGCACCAGCATCATCAACCACAGCATCCCCATCATCATCATCATCATCATCATCATCATCATCATCATCATCATCATCATCATCATCATCACCATCACCATCCCCATCCCCATCCCCATCCCCATCAACAACAAGTGCACACTCCTCATCAACCTCATCATCTTTATTTTCATCATCATCCTCATTATCAGCAGCAGCACCACCAGCATCATCGCCATCCTCATGCTCACTGTTTCACTCAATCACTCGCTCGCTCGCTCACTCACTCGCTCACTCACATGCACTCACCACTCACCCACTCATCATCACGCCAGGGCTTCTCAGGCCTGAATGTGGGGGAAGTATCAATCGGGAGCCTCGTCTGTGAGTGGACTGCGAGGAGGTCTCAGGTGGAAACCCCTTTCCTGGTGGGGCCAGCAGCTCATGTTAGTAATCCGAGCGGGTCATCCTAAAACTTGTAAGTGTCGTCAGTTTGGGCCACCTCAGGCCTGAAGACGGATGACTTATCAAGCAGGAGCCTCGTCTGTGAGTGAATTACGACGACGACTCAGGCGGGCGGGTCATCGGAAAACGTATAGCTGCTATTATGTTTGGGCTCCTCAGGCTTGAATATGGAGGAAGTATCGGGCGGGAGCGTCTGTGACTGAATTGTGAGGAAGTCTCCGGCGGGAGCCCCTTCCCTATGGGGCCCGCAGTTCATGTGAGCAATCCGAGCGGATCATTCTGAAACGTGTAATTGTCATGTTCGGGCTCCTCAGGCTTGAATATGGAGGAAATATTAAGCCGGAGCCTCGTCTGTGAGTGAAGCGCGAGGAAGTCTCAGGCGGGAGCCCCCTTCCTGTGGGGCCCGCAGCTCATGTTAGCAATCCGAGCGGATCATCATAAAGATTGTAAGTGTCGTCATGTTCGGGCTCCTCAGGCTTGAATACAGAGGAATATCAGGCGGGGTAAATGTCGTCAGGTTTGCGCTCCGCAGGCTTGAATATGGAGGCAGTATGAAGCGGGAGCCTCATCTGCGAGTGAATTGCTAGGACTATCAGACGGGAGCCCCCTCGCTATTGGGCCCGCAGCTCATGGTAGCAATCCGAGAGGGCCATCCTAAGACATGTAAGCTTCGTCATTTTTGGGCTCCTCAGGCTTGAATTTGAAGGAAGTATCGGACCTCGTCTGTGAGTGATGTTTGAGAAAGTCTCAGGCGGGAGCCCCTCCCTATGAGGTTCCACCTCCTTGTTCGAATCCGAGCGGGTCATCGGAAAGCTTGTAGTTGTAGTCATGTTTGGGTTCTTCTGGTGTGAGTATGGAAAGTCTGGAGCGGGAGCCTCGTCTGTGAGTGGATCGGAATGAAGTCTCAAGCGCAAGCTCCTCCCTGTGGGGTCCTGCCTCCACGTTCGAATCCGAGCGGGTCATCGGAAAACTTGTAATTGACACTTTTGAGCTCGTCAGGCTTGAACAGGGGACGTCCCATTCGGGAGCCTCGTCCGTGAGTGAATCGCGAGGAAGCCTTGAACGGGAGCCAGGGGCGCACAGGTTACACAAGGTCCCGCAGGCCGAACAAGGCCCACTGGCCTTACGGTTCCCACAAGTCGCGCAGGCCCCACAGGGCCCACAGGGCCCACAGGTCCCAAAGGCACGACAGGTCCCACAGGTTTCACATTCTCACAAGTCTCACAGGTCGTCCCACCGGTCTCACAGGCCCCACAGGCCCCACAGGTCCCAGGCCCCGCAGGTCCTACAGGCCCCGCAGTCCCCACAGGTCCCACACGTCCTACAGGGTTCGCAAGTCCCAGAGGCCCCACAAGCCGCACAGGTCCCATGGACCCGACAGGTCCCACAGGCCCCACGGGCCCTGCAGGTTCCAGGGGCCCCACAGGTCCCACAGGCCCCGCAGGCCCCCCATGCCCCACAGGTCTGACAGGTCCCACAGGCCCCACAGGTCGCACAGGCCCACTAGGTCGTACAGGTCTCACAGGTCGCACAGCTTCCACAGCCCCCAGAGGTTTCACATGCCACACAGGCCCCACCAGCCCCACAGGCTTCAGCGGCCTCACGAGTCGCATCTTTGTTTCGTGGCGTCCTTCCGACGGAGTGGTTCGCCCGTGCTTGCCCACGCGACACTCAAACTCTACACCCCAAGCCCTCGATTGCCAGGGCAGGTGGGCCCGGGCGGCCCCCAGGTGGGGTGGACTCGAGCGGGCGGACAGACGCACTGGTCGGGCGGGCGAGCCCCAACGGGCGGGCGGGCGTCTGGCCTGGGGTGCGGGTGGACC